AGTGTATGTGTTATATATTAAATTACCCAATAAATTGGGAAAAAATATCGACATTTTTGCATCTTTATTATATCTACATTCATCCTGTTGCAGCTGAATATATTTGGGTAAGTCATAAGTTTTCGTTTAAAATTTTAATTACGGATTTGTTGCTACAAGTAGCAAAGACAAAAATTATATCAAAATAGGAAAGCTCAAAAGTTGCATATCATTTAAAGAATATGCTCATATATTTGTAAACATTATTTTTAGAAATAAATTTAATGCTCAAATGATAGATGTAGTATTTGATCATTATAAAGGACATTCTATCAAAAATACAACACGTCAAAAGAGAGGATTTCAGAAATCAATTGATATAGAAATTGACCGACCCAATATTCTACTTCCGCAACAATAGAACTTGTTTATTCATTCGATATTTAACAAAAGACGTTTAACACATTTTCTGCCAGAGCAACTTCTTCAAAACTCGCAATAATCAATAAATATGGAAAGATTTTAAACCATCAAAAGACGATTTTTTAAATTCAAATCACGAAGACGCTAATAATCGTATCTTATTGCACATATTGTCAGCCAAAAATTCGGGGCATTCACGCTGCATTATTTATTGCAACGATACAGATGTCTTATTAATTTATTTTAAGAAGTTTTTGACTGAAGATATATGGTTCAGAACAGGGCGAGGAGACTCAAGACGATTTTTAGCAGTACATTATTTAAATTTGGATGAAAACCTTCTAAAAAATGTGCCTGCTTTTCATTCTCTGACTGGTTGTAATACAACCAGCTAATTGTCCAGCATTGGGAAAAGGACCTGTTGGAAAACTTACCTTTAACACCATTACTTTTTGGATGGATTTGGCATTAATCAGTACTCTGAAAACATATTCTCTAATCTTGAAAGAATTTTCATAAAAATTTATTCAAAACTGCCAATGTTACTTCCATTAACATTTTGGGGGGATTATTGGCCTCTTCAAAAACCATCGCTAAATTGCCACCGACTGAAGACGCCCTAAGACTACATTGTTTAAGATGTTTTTACCAGCTAAATATTTGGCTAACCTCTTTAAACCCAGATGCAGCTTCCTAATGTTGAAGAGTATGGATGGAAAGTAGATCAAGATGGAAGTCTGATACCCACTTTTAAGACTCTGTCCGACCTGCCACCAGACATAACAGAACTTACATCATGCAAATGCAAAAAAGATACTATACAATATTCTAACAATAATATTCTGTTTTAGACTGTGGAAGCAAAATTTGCAAATGCAGAAAAAAAATATTTGCTGTATCGGTTCCTGCACCTGTATGGCACAGCCGCTAATGTTTTGGAAAATGTTGATTCGTGTGGTGAATCTGATTCTGATTAGTTTGAAAGTCGTGTAATTATAAATTTTAATATTATTAATTTATGCTTTATATACTTCCTTCCAATTATTATTATTATTATAATTTATTTATATTGGGGATTTATTGTATTTTGCAAAGCAATAGCCTTATTGTTTATAATTGATACTTCAATAAATACCTTTAATAAATAGTTTATATTTTCTTATTTTTCATTTTCCACCAAAAATAAAAACAAATCTTGAAGTAATTAATACACCCTATTATTCATAGTGGAAAAATCAATAATCCCTGTATAAAATAATGTTAGAGATTCAAACTGATTGCATACATTTCAATACTGAGATAGATGCATAAAAAGTCGAGAGGCTCTGCCTTTAATGTTTGCTTTCTAGTAAAACCATGACATCACTAATTGTTTATTGCTATATTTTTGTTAATTTAAAAGCAAAAAATATGACGAAAGTACTTTTACCTTGTCAATATATAGGCGAAACTTTTATAAAGAATAGTTGTTTTTCATTTATGCCTTCGTTTTTCGTCAAATGAGAAGTATATTTCTAAAAGAACATTTTTTACACAAATTTGTAGACGGTTGAAACCGAGATATTGACGTTTAAATTTTTTTTTCGACCATAAGGGCTAATGTAAATGATTTTAAATAATTATAAAAAAAATACTTTCTACAAAGACCTAATTGAGCATTAGAACAAAAAATAGCCATTTTTAACCAAATTAGATGTAATTTCATTAAATTAGATAATAATTTTCAACAAATTCCAAAACCTAGAGATGTTAAATTGGAAGTGGCAACAGGGCTTACACCGGCATGGAAATTTACGTTATGTAGTATGAGCTCGGGCAGTTATTCATTGATAATACTACGTAAAATCCTTCACTCTATCCCTTCTCTTACTTCTCACCTTTCGTCGCCTCGCCCCGCGTCTAGAAATAGAATATATACAGTACTAACTATTGTTGGCACCATGAATATTATATTTTATGAATGACTGCTTATATCTCTGTTATCTCTGGTTCCGATTTTATATGTTTCAAAAAGTGAACTGTTTCGCCAGCTTACATTTTTCTGATTATCAAACCTTTCGCCGACACAAAAAACTGCTTGTAATATTATTTTAGATTCAGAAGAAAAAAAAGCGTTGAAGCTATATCCCGAATTTCATTGAAAATCGTAAATATCCGGTCACATTGCCAAAATCCCTAAACCGGAAGTAGCAAAACCGAATACCTTTAAATTCTTGAATAGCGATTTTTTGTTGTTATAGACGTCTAGAAGCACATAATTCATTGCCAACAAAAACAAAAAATCTGTCGACAAGCAATTTTACTTTAAATAATAAAAATGCAGAGGTTTAAGATTGTAAAGTCTAGAGCTATCGCTACCTAGGTTAGACTTTCTTCAGTATTTATAATTGTTTATTTTGATTCATTATTATTATAATATTATTTTTCTTATAAAATGTTCTTCCAAACTTTTATTTAAATCGCTTCAGAAATATAAATAAAATATTACGGCAGGGGACAGGGCACATATTCCTTAAAAGCAAAACTTTCGAATAGCTCTCCTACAAAAAATTTGATTTTAGCTCTCACGATTGTAGTAAATAATGTATTCGAATGCCGAAAAAAATATCCGGTATCCGGATACTTACAAATTTGGTCACGGATACGGATACCGGATACAAAATTTGAAAAGTATCCGGATACAGCTTTCGGATACACATAAAGTATCCGGATACTGTATCCGGATACAAAAGTATCCGGATACTACCCAACTCTGCGCCAAAGTAATTAATCGGTATTTTAAAACAAAATGTAGGTCAGTCTAAAATATTTTAATTGACTTCCTATAATTATAATTATAATAATTAAATGCTTAAATCATAAATAGTTACGGACATATAAGTACTAAAATATTTTTTTGTTCTTCGAAGAGTAGGTTTATGTCAAATAAACTTACAATATTATAATGTAAGAAGGTTCTTATAAAATTAAATTATTTATTTTATTTTGGTGTGATCGTAGAATAGCTATTTGTGTAATGCGCTAGTTTAGTATGATGTCATTTTGGTTCCACTGACATTTAATTCTAACCAAACTTTTAACAAAAACATCAATAAATTTGACATATACGTTCTTACTGTTTTTAGTTTATTTCTAAATATTGTTTACAGGTCATAAAAATAGTTGAAAAGTATGTAAATTGGTAACTAAACGATTGTATATTTGATGCATGTTATCTACTTACTTTAGGAATATATTTATACAAGTGAAAAAACGATATAATTTAGGTAAACACAACGAACAAAACGCACTCAAAAAATCAACTGTCACTTTAATTGTCAGTGGAACCATAATTAGGTATTCCAACGACCTGTCCAAATGGCTACCCACTAATCACTGGTTTAATTATTAACTAGTCAGCAACGACTATCAACTCTCTCATATATAGTTATATAGATTGATCAAAGCTGGTCGTTTACGAGCGGCCATATTGCCTGGCAAATATTTATTAATCTGAATCGGTTTAGCAAAAATGTGTTTTAAAACCAATTTTTAGCCCTTAGATATTTAAAAAAAAAAATTGCTTACATTTTTACTTCAAGGCATAAGCTTATGTTTATTTTGAAAAATATGGATGATCAATCTATGTAACTATCTATTTCATTGACCTTGTCAAATCACTAGGCCTACAGGGTTGCCATAATTTTGCCATATCATAACCCGTCAGAACCCACTGGTAGCCATTCAGTTTGGAATGCCTAATTACATTATGGAATGCCTAATTACATTATCACTGAACCAGCGCATAAGAGCAGAAAGTAGAACTTTGGCAGTTGATGCAGAAAGTTGCAGCGCGACGCGTCAACGGAGCGTGGCAATCTGTCGAAACTGCTAAAAAACTTTTGCTCGAATTACCCACAATTTTTTTTCTACGATGACACCAAAATAAAATAAATAATTTTATTTTATTAGAAATGGGTCGCCTTCTTTCATTATAATATTGTAAGTTTATTTGACATAAGGCTACTCTTCAAAGAAAAAAAAATGGTTTAGTACTTATCTGTCGGTAATTATTTATGATTTAATTATTTACGGAAAATACTGTTGGATGATTTAATTATTTACGGAAAATACTGTTGGATGATTTAAAATATTTAAAAGTCAATTAAAATATTTTAGATTAGTCTACATTTTGTTTTAAAATACCGATTAGCTTTCTTTTATTTAATTTAAATGAAAATAGACAAGCGTGTGCCAAAGTTACTTTGGCGCACGTGTGCGCCAATTATGTCAAATTATGACAATTCGCGGATGTCAACTTTCGAGTTTGAATGTGCAAAAGCCTATTTTGGATAGTGATCGTAGAAAAAAAATATTGTGTGTAATTCGATCAGGAAGTTGTTTGGCAGTTTCGACAGATTGCCTTTCTCCGCTAACGCGTCACGCGGTAATTTTCTGTCTCAACTACCAAAGTGCTACTTTCTCCTCTTAATACACAAATAGCTATCGTTGATTTTGAAAGAAAGTAGGATTTGAGCATGGGTAATAAAGACCATCAATAAGGGGATAGGTTTATTATATGTGTTGATTTTAATAAAAGAAAAGAATGAGTATTTATAGCTATTTTTTTCAGTGCCCAAATTTGGGGTTAGACATCGCCAAATACTTCTGTTATTTTGGATGGTAACCATAGCTGTAGGAATGAGAGTACATATGTCAGTTGCTGTTGTCGCCATGACCGATCCTAAAGCATCATCAAATCCTGATATTCCTGTAAGTAATATTATAATTTTTGTTTAGAAGTTACTTACCCCTACTTACAAAATCAGAAGTAGGTATCTAATATCACGAAATAATTTTAAATATATTTTGAATCTACTGAAAGCAAGAGTGGTATTCGAAAAGTAATGTAACGAACAAAATCAAAATAAATTAAATTAATACTTTTATTAAATCAAAATTTAAATTAAAAAAAAGACATTAATTGTCAATGTCAATAAACCTATTGCGATTATGACCGATATTAAATTTTTTGTAATCGAGATGACTTCCGCATTTTTTCTAAATCATATTTCAATTATGGTAGGGGAGCCAATGACACTTTCAGATGTTTTATTTGAGCAATACAAAATTACAAATTTTTGTTCATTCTTACCTTGTAGAAGAATCCCTGCAGTAGTGGAGCGTTCACTAAAAAAAGAACTGATCCAAAAAAAGCCGTTGTAGAAAATGTGAATGTCATACATTTGATTAGATAAATGACTTGACATAAGTCTTCATGGTTCAGGTCGTTAAGTGCTAAACTTTGGATTTTGCGACCCAGGTTCTATTTCCGATAAAAGCAATAATTAAAAATACGATTATTGCTGTTTACTTATTTTGAGTACATTTTATTTATCATAATTTAACCCCTACAATTAGGTAATGCGTTAATCTTTGCGGTATTTATTTTGTACTACTTGTGCTGCTCGTCCCGCAAATATTCAATCGTTCAATAAATAAGATATTTCATGACTGGTTGCATAAATAGCTATTAAAATAAATAAACAGCAATAGTCGTATTTTTCATATTGTTTCCAAAATTAATAAGATTGATTTTATCGTGAATTGAACTCGGGTTGCCAAATCCAAAGTTAAGTGCTTAACGACCTTAGCCATTAAGGCTGATAAAATATGTGACATTAACATTTTCTATAACGGCTTTTTAAGACGCCATTATCGAGCGCCTACTGTTGGTTCGTCTGAAGTAAAGTATTTCAATTTTTACAAGAATAAACGATGAATTTGTAATTTACCTTGCGCCAGTGTGAACCAAAAAAGTATCCTTGGCTCCCTTACTACTACCTCTAATCTGTTTTGACATGATTGTCGATATGTTGATAAATAAATACCGGAAATTTTCTCTCAACCGAGCCACTAGGCTTAAATAATCACACACGTGATATATCCACTTGTTGGCACACAGTAATAGTGACACAACTAAAACACATAGATTTTCGAAGATATCCATTTTAAAGTTTCTTGTTTACTGTAATGATCTTGCATTTTAAATGTTTAAATCTTTTTGGGAATAAATATTAGTGTTCACCTTGTATTTAAACAATAACCTCGTGTGCTCTAATACCATTAAGAAAAATCCCAAAAATAATAATTTTTATCCTTCTTTTGGTTATGACGTTCTTCCAGAAAAATATATTTCACACCATATTGATAATGAACTTTTTTAAAAATATTGTCATAATTTGACTTGTGACATTGTTGAACATAATGGTTTTAGTTTATTTTTAATAAAACAAGCATATTTTGATATATGGAACATTTTAATTTTTGACGATCTTTTCTCATCGACTATCGCAGCAAAACTAGATTTGTGTCACTAATCTTCATCATAAACTCGCAACTATAGTTAAAAAAGAACGACATAACTGCTTTTCTGCGGTATATTTTTGGAAGTAACAATATGTAGTTTTTCCACATAAAAATAAGCGGATTTTGCTATATATTTTCCCAATAAGCTCTAAAATGGAAATGTTTGAGTTATGTCACTATTCTTGTGTTAGAAAAACAGAAAGTAAAATTAAAAAGACATATTTATTTTCACTATATACTCAAATTATCTGCTCCCAAAAAATTATAAATACTGCTTTATATTTTTAGGTGATAAAACTTTTTATTTTATTTTAATTAAAATATTTTACATTCACTATAATATTTACATTTTACACATCTCAATTCATTAAAAGATTTATCACTCATATCCATATTCACTCGTTTTTTAATATTTCTAAGAAAGTTTGTGACGTATTTAAATTTGATATCGAGAGATTTTTTTAAATTTTATCAAAACTATAAAAAAACAATCTATTTTTTATTACGTCTAACATAAAGATAAGATATTATCTAGATAAATAGCACGTGGCACACTTACATAATACGAACGTCAAATTAAAAAATATGTTTTTATATTTATCAAAATGTGTCAGTTATTGATTCATCTATTGAGTATGTATTACAAGTTATAAAACTGATGTGTCCAACACATGGCTTTCTTATCTAGTTATTATAGGCTTTTTCCGGTTATTTTGTACAACCTATTGCAGCATATCTATAAATGTTTAAAGGATAAACTAAATATATACATTTTCCACATACATCTACCTCAAAACATTTTTCTACAGATATTCATTGAAAACGAAAAGACTAAAAAATTTAAATTTAGCACTTTTCCTCCAATTTTTCCATTACGGTCCATTTAAGAAAAATCATGTAAAAACAAAAATTATAGAGATCGATATCGCAAGCAACTTTTAGTTCAAAAATTTTCTTAAAAATCAGAATTTTGTACATTTTGTCAAATTTCTCGAATACGGACCATTTCATAAAAATTTGACATAAAACAAAAATTATAGATAATAATGTAACGATGTTCTCCAGCAACACCGTTCTAGAGACGCCTATGGTTCAGCATGTAGCCGTTTTTATCAAGCAGAGACAAGTATATAAAGAGCTCCGATTTTAATTCTCGTCAGTCGAACTAAGGTACTGACTTAGTAAGACTCTCCTCTCCTGCTCCTGCAGATGTATTGACTCTGTAAGCTTCCCGACGTCCCGACCCTTACCTGCAAAGGTATTGACTTTGTAGGTTTACCTTTCCGTGAATCTCTCCCACGAAGGTATTGACTTCGAGGGACTTCCATTACCGTAAACGTAACCTAAGCTCTTGTCACGTTTTCGCCACACCATCCTGGACCACCAAGTCACGCCGAACCAACGCACAAAATATATTTTGGGTAAACATTTGATGACACGACGATTCGAAATTTAGTTAGAACCTTTTCACGTACATATTGTAAATATTGTTATCTGTATATAAATTGTTAGAATAAAGTTTTATTTCCAAAGAACTCTGTTTAGAATCTACCTGCTACCCGAACAAACCCCAGGAGGGGTTACAATAATATTAGAAGAAACTTTTATTTGAACAATTTTCTTCTCCAAACATAAATAACAGATATATTCCATAAAACATAAAAACGGTCTCCCATAAAGTACCCCCCAGATGTTTTGACTTTGTCCAAAATCTAATCATTTCACGTCAGGCCGAAATAAAACTTAAGTTTAAAATTTAATGTTTTTTCTTTATCTGTTTTTGAGTTATCTTCAAAATTCGAAATTTACACATTTTCTCAAATATCTCGAATACGGTCGTTTATAGAGAAATTATGTATTAATTAAAAATTATAGGGAATTATATTACAAACAACTTCTATTTGAACAATTTTTATAGTAATTTATGTTTTTACATTTTCTCAAATTTCTCGAATACGGACCATTTTAGGAAAATTTTGTATTGAACAAAAAATATTGATAATAATATTGTAAGTAACTTTTATTTAAAGAAATTTCTTCTCCAAACGTAAATAACAGATATATTCCATAAAATATAAAAATGACCCTCTATAAAGTAACCCCCCAAATGTTCCTACTTTGCTCAAAATCTAATCAATTTACCGCAGGCCGGAATAAAGCTTAAGTTTAAAATTTGGTGTTTTTCTTTGTATCGGTTCATTAGTTATCGTGGATACAGACACACAAACGCACAAACACACAGACACACACACACACACACACACACACACACACACACACACACACACACACACACACACACACACACACACACACACACACACACACACACACACACACACACACACACACACACACACACACACACACACACACACACACACACACACACACACACACACACACACACACACACACACACACACACACACACACACACACACACACACACACACACACACACACACACACACACACACACACACACACACACACACACACACACACACACACACACACACACACACACACACACACACACACACACACACACACACACACACACACACACACACACACACACACACACACACACACACACACACACACACACACACACACACACACACACACACACACACACACACACACACACACACACACACACACACACACACACACACACACACACACACACACACACACACACACACACACACACACACACACACACACACACACACACACACACACACACACACACACACACACACACACACACACACACACACACACACACACACACACACACACACACACACACACACACACACACACACACACACACACACACACACACACACACACACACACGCACAAAATGTGCAAAATTCTGATTTTTATGAAAATTATTGAACTAAAAGTTGTTTGCGATATCGATCTCTATAATTTTTGTTTATACATGATTTTTCTGAAATGGACCGTATTAAAAAAATTGTAGGAAATTTAAATTTTTCATAATTTTCGTTTTCATTGAATATCTATAGAAAAATGTTTCGAGGTAGATATATGTGGACAATGTATATATTTAGTTTATCCTTTAAACATTTATAGAGATGCTGCAATAGGTTGTACAAAATAAGCGAAAAAAGCCTAGGTATAATAACTAGATAGGAAAGTCATGTGTTGGACACATCAAATTTTTTAACATACAAAAAGTGTAAATTTTTAAGATTTGTGTAAAGTGCTTGAAATATGAGCCACCCTATAAAAGTAACAAAAAGTCTTCTTAAAACGTAAAAAAATATTTATTTCTAAAGAATGTGACATAAAAAAACCTATTTGCAAAAATTGCAGATATATTCGCCGCGTTCTGTGTCCGCACATGCCTCGTGTGACCACAT